TGATTGGGGTTGATGAATGTAATAGATATTTTGTGATGGAGGATAGATTGGAGTAGATAAATGTAACAGATATGGGAATGTACATAAGTACTTTGGTTATTGTTCAATTTATGAGTTTTGAGAGGTTTTGGGTGGTTGTGAAATTTTGTGATGGAAGATTGATTGGAGTAGATGTATGCAGTAGATATGTGACTATACATAAGTAGTTTGGTTATTATTAAATTGATGAGTTTTGGGAGGTTTTGTGTGGTTGTGAATTTTTGTGATGAGGATTGATTGGAGTAGACGAATGTAATAGATATTTTGTGACGGAGAATTGATTGGAGTAGATGAATGTAATAGATACTTCGTGATGAAGGATGGAGGACATTTTTTGACGAGACAAAGACGATATTCTTTGAAACTAAGTCAATACCAAGTACATAAAAACTTTGTAGAAGTTTTAGGAAGAGGAATTAATGTGGAAATATTTATAAAGAAATATTACTGTATTTAAAATAAAAACTACAAGAAATACATCTTTTAATAAAATCTACCTTTATCCTTCACTCCCAAAATCACAAGAAACTTCTTCTAATAAAATTTACCTTCAATTTCTAATTAAAATTCACAAGAAATTTGTCTGTAATCTCTACTGTAAAGATCACAAGAAATTTCTCTGTAACCTCTAATATAAAAATCACAAGAAATATCTCTGGAACCTTTAATTTAAAAATCACAAGGAATATCTCTGTAATCTCTAATATAAAAATCACAAGAAATTTCTCTGGAATTTCTAATATAAAAATCACCAGAAATTTCTCTGTAATCTCTAATGTAAAAATCACAAGAAATTCCACTGTAACCTCTAATGTAAAAATCACAAGAAATTCCTCTGGAATCTTCAATTTAAAAATCACAAGAAATTTCTCTGTAATCTTCAATTTAAGTATCACAAGAAATTCCTTTATAATCTTCAGTTTAAAAATCAGAATAAATTTTTCTGTAGTTTGTAATGTAAAAATCACAAGAAATTTCTCCTTAACTTCTACTTCACAAGTCACAAATATTCGAAGCAAAAAATTCGAAACGCTAGACTTCCAAGGGTAGCCTCGCACGCAACTAGAGGTCGTCTAAAATTTCTAAGACACTTATTAGCATTCCACGGCTGGTCATCTGAATCAGCGAGAATTTATCATCCTTTGTCCGTGGCCGATTCTCCTCGGTCGACGGCCGACGACCGATTACGTCGGTCCTATTCGATCGGTGATCGCGACTCTCCGTCGATTATGCGAGGATTACGTCAATTTAATTTTAACTCGGATGAAAATGGGAGCGAGTGCGCACGTATGCATGCGATTTTAATTGATTCGCCGCACGCGCCGGGCATGACTATGATTTTCGAGCTAATCAATTCAACAGAGGACTCGAATTCATCGCCGCTCGAGAAAAAGAAACGAACGACGGACGCCGCGGACGCGGTAATGTCAGGGTCGAGCGTGTCACGCTCTTTCGAAATCAGATGGATTGTTCGTGGGGGTTGAATCGACGGGAATTAAGGTATTTTGGGATTTTAAGAGATTTTTTGGAATTGATTGGGTTTTTGTCGGTGCTGAAATTAACGGGGAATTGGGGTTGTTTGGAAAATTGGAAGGTTTTTGGTAGTTTGTGTTGAAATCAGAATATTTATTGGAATTTTGTATGAAAATTAGAAAGTTTCTTGAGATTTTGTATGAAAATTGAAAGGTTTTTTGAGATTTCAAGGGATTTTTTGGAATTGCTTGGATTTTTGTTGGTGTTGGAATTAACGACGAATTAACGAGGAATTGGGTTTGTTTGGAAAATTATGTTTCTTGACATTTTAAGGGATTGTTTAGAGTTGTTTGGATTATTGTTGATGTTGAAATTAACGAGGAATTGGGATGGTTGGGAAATAAGGTTTCTTGAGATTTCGAGGGATTTTTTGGAACTGTTTTGATTAATATTGATGCTGAATTAACGAGGAATTGGGGTTGTTTCGAGTTTTGTAGGGAAATTGGAATGTACAGGTTATGTAACTATTATAACGGTTATCTTGATTTCTTTGACAAACGGAATTAAGCCACTTTCAAAATAAAATTTAAACTTGCATATAACAGTTCAAATTCATCGACAAATTATCAAATAATAAATTCAAGCTATCGAACAGATTCAATGTTCATAAAAAAATACACTAATATGTCAGTCAAATGAAAAATTTAAACTAGAATTTGACTATTGAGATTCATCGACATATTCAAAGTAGCATATAACTGTTTAAATTTATCGACAAATCCACTAAAACAACAAATTATCAACTAACAAATTCAAACTACCAAACATCTCCAACGTCCATCAACAAATCCACTAAAACCAGAGTAAATCAACAAATCCAAATCCTCAAATAACTGTACAAATTCATCAACAAATTCAAACTATCATATAACAGTTCAAATCCATCGACAAATTATCAAATAATAAATTCAGACTATCGAACAGATTCAACGTTTATCGACCAATGCACTAATATGTCAGTCAAATGACAAATTTAAACTTGCATATAATTGTTGAAATTTATCAACAAACTGAAACTACCATATCACTGTCCAAATTCATCAATAAATTCAAATTATCATACAAAATTTCAAGTTCATCAATAAATTCAAATTATCATACAAAATTTCAAGTTCATCAAAAAATCCACTAAAAGAACAGTAAAACAAGAAATTCAAATTCTCAAATAACTGTACATATTCATCGACAATTTCAAACTATTATATAACTATTCAAATTCATCAACAAATCCACTAAAACGACAAACTATCGACTAAAAAATTCAAACTACCAAACATCTTCAACGTGTATCAACAAATCCACCCAAATAACAGTAAATCAACAAATCCAATTCCTCAAATAACCGTTCATATCCATCGACAGGTCCACTAAAACGGCGAAAACGTCGAGCGCGCGAGACGCGAGGTGTCGAAAACTGTTTTCCACTCTAGAATGCGTGCGGAGCACCGAAAAAAAGCGAAGGTAAAACGCCACCGGATGATGAGCCAACAGTGATCGGGGACTCATCGGTCTTTTAGGAGGTCAATGTCACCCGACGGCCGGCGCGGGTCTCCTTAAAGATGCAGAACGCATCCGAGACTCTGTCTGCGCGTATATAATCCGCCGGCGGTGCCATTGGGCATCAGTCGACTCGAAAAGTCAAAGCGTATAGCTAACTACAACTACAATGAAGGTAGATTATCGTTTTATATCGAGAATCATAATTTAAAATTATTAGTATTAATTAATTTGTTTGTGTCGTTTAATTTGTTGTTTTGTGGGTTTTTTGAGTGTAATTTGAAAAGTCGAAGCATGTAGCTAACTATAATGAAGATTGTCGTACTATATGATCATAATTAGCAATTATTAGGATTAATAAATTTATTGTTTTGTGATTTAGTTGAGTGTAATACGAAAAGTCGAAGTTAAGTACAACTATAATGAAGGTAGACTATCGTACTGTAAGATTGACGATTATAATTTACAATTATTAGTAGTAATTAATTTGTTGTTTTTTTTTAGTATAATTGGTGGAAGTTGGTTATTTGGAAATTAGAGGAAATTTTTCTCGCACCAGTTGCCTTATGATAATTGTGATGGGGATTTTAAAGAGAATTTGATAAATTTATGTGTCATTTAATAATTTGTGGTATGAATTAAGTATAACTTGTTTATTGTTAATTTTTAACTTTCGAGGATGAGGTAGCTATAAAAATGTTGAATTAGGGTAAATAGAAACGACTGTCAAACGATAAATTTGAACTAGCAACAACTAATCAGATTCATCGACAAATATACTAAGATGACAGTTGGACGATACATTCAGTAAGACGACAGTGAAACGACAAATTCAAATTATTAAACAACTGTTCAGATCCATCAACAAATCCACTGAGACCACAGTCGAGTAACCAATTCACTAAGACGACAGTGAAACAAAAATTTCAACCTACCAAGCAAACCCACATTCCTCAACACATCACCAAGACGACCCATGAACACCAAATCTCTGCTACCAAGCAAACCCACATCTCAACAAATCACTATACGACCCTCAAACACCAACTTCAACCCACAATCAAACTCAACATTCCTCAACAAATCTCTAACTCAACCTCAAACACCAACTTGAACCCATAAT